TTATTCATCAGAGCTAGGATGTTATCTACAGTGGAGCTACAGATCAAAGGAGCTATATAACCTTCACTTTAAACAACAAAAGCAACGGGCCAAGGCAAGCTTTTAAAGGGATACACTACCTAGTTTGCTTTCACAACTACTTTAATAGCTAATCTGCTAACCTTTCTTTAAAACTTTTCCCTATCAGTACCACTGAAAATTTCAGGCCAACAATTGACAGGGGTGGTGAGCTCTGCAGAGATCTCATTCTTCAATGAAGATACAGATTTCTGGAGATTGTCACATCCAGAGTTGCTCTCAACTGAGGTCCAACCAACACCTACTGATATCTTAAGGACCAAAAAGACTCACCAAGAAAACCTCAAGCTCCACATATATAAATTCAGTTTATTTGATTTATGTTATAGCAAGCAACAAAAAGGGTTCTATCCACATAGTTTTAATGTTAAACATAGGATATATAAATCTATAAATAATTTAAAAATATTATAGTTAATGTTACATGATATATGACTAAGGGAGAAACAGATACATTTACATTTTCCATTAGTCTAACAGGATTAATACATAATATGCTATTTCTATTATGGGTACTTTAAAAAAGATGCTTTGGGAAGGTTTTTAAAGATGAACACATGTACAGGATACAAAATCAACATTTAAAAAATCAATTACTTTTTGGTATACCAGTGAAAGACTATCTAAAAAAGAAATCAGGAAAATAATTTCATTCATAGAGGCTTCAAAGTAGTGAAATACTTGGGGATCAATTTAACCAAAGAGGTAAAAGAATTCTACAGAAAAAATTTCAGAACTCTGAAGAAAAAATGTAGGAAGACAAGATAGAAAGACTTTCCATGTTCATGGATTGGCAGAATTCATATTGTTAATGTGGTCATATTACCAAAAGCAATCTATAGACTCAGTGCAATTACCATCAAAATCCCAATGACATTCTTTACAGAACTAGAAAAAAAATTCTAAAATTCATATGAAAACAAAAGACTCAGAATAGCCAAAGCAATCCTGAGTAAAAAATGCAGTGGTGGAAACATCCAATACCTGATATTTCAAACTATACTACAAAGCTACAGTAACAAAAATAACATGGTACTGGCGCAAAAAAAAAAAAAAAAAGACACATAGCTCAGTGAAATAGAATACAGGACACAGAAACAAACTCATACCATTACAATCATCTGATTCTTGGTGCCAAAAACATATGTTAAAGAACAGAGAGTCTCTTTAACAAATAGCACTGGGAAAACTGAATATATATAAAAGACTGAAAAGTAGATCCCTATCTCTTACCCTGTACAAAAGTCAATTCAAAATGGATCAAAAACCTAGGCATATGACTAAAAATTTTGAAATTGCTACAACAAAACATAGGGTAAAGACTTCCTGAATGGGACTTCAATAGTTCAAGAAAAAAATAGCAAGAATGAACAAAAGAAACTACATCAAATTACAATTTTGCGCAACAAAGGAAACAACAAGTACAGTGAAGAGACAGCCTACAGAATGCGAGAAAAAATTTTGCCAGCTACACTTTTCATTGAGGATTAATATCTAGACTAAAGCATTCAAAAAACATCACCAAAAAAGTAGTTCAATCAATAAGTAGACAAATGTATTGTGCATACACTTCTCAAAGGAAGTACAAATTGGGCTGGGGATTTAACTCAGTGGTTCCACCGCCTGCCTCACAAGCACAAGGTCCTGAGTTTGGTCCCCAGTACCAAAAAAAAGAAGTACAAATTGCCAATAAGTATATGAAAAAATATTCAACATTTTTATCCATTAGGGAAATATAAATCAAAAGTACACTGAGAATCTATCTTATCCCAGTGAGAATGGCTATCATCAAGAATTTTTAAAAAATATAATGAATGCTGGCAAAGATGCAGAAGCAGGAGGAAGAACTCTTTTTACAGTATTGGAATGTAAATTAGTGTAGCTACTAAGGAAATCAGTGCCAAGGTTTCTCAAAAACCTAAAATTAGAACTACCATATGACCCAGCTATACCACTCCTTAGTATTTACCCAAAAGAGTTAAAAATTACCATACTGCAGAAATAACTGCATACTCATGTTTATTGTGGCACAATTCACAATAGTCAAGATGTGGAATCAGACTAGGTGTCCATCAAAAGATGAATAAAGAAAACATGATAAATATACACAAGGAAGTATTATTCAACCATAAAGAAGAATGAAATCATGTCATTTGCAGAAAAATGGATGGAGCTGGAGACTGTCATGATGAGAGAAACAAGATAGATTCAGAAAAGAAGTACTGTATTGTGTATTTTCACTAATATATGGAATGTAAATATATGACATGAAAGTATAAGGGAGACTATTATTAGACAAATGGAAAGGAATAAAGAGGAGCAGGAGGGATGTGTGGGAGGGTAAAGGGGGAATGGAAACAAGAGCTATTAATGATATCATTAAGAGATGATGATGTTGACTTTATGGAGGTGAAAAGGGGTCCAGTAAATTCTGTTGAGTGAGAGTAAGTAGATTATAAAACAGAACATACGGCATTGTCAATTTTTTATTTTCAAAAATGTGCTTATATATAGATAACAAGAAATCATCTAGAATGGTGTTCACTGGATGGTTTGAATCTGTCTCTAGAAGTGAGATGCTGAGCACATTTTTATTTTTAAGATTATTTTTTGACTTATGTTATTATAAAATGTTTCTAAGCAAAAGAAATTAAGAATTGCTGTACATGAGGTGAAGGATATGTTAATTAGCTTTATTATAGGAATAATTTCACAATGCATGTGTATCTCAAAACATTATGGTATACATCTTTTTTTTTTTTTTTTTTGGTACCAGGGATTGAACTTGGGTCCTTGTGCTTGCGCAGCAGGCGGCGAAACCACTGAGCTAAATCCCCAGGCTACATCTTAAATATAAATGATTTTATTTGCAAGTTATATTGAAGAAAAAAATAATGTAAATAAAACTTAACTGGGCATCACAAAAAAGGTAGAAAAGGAACACATGTGTACTGTAGTCAATTTGAAAGCTAGGGGAGATTCCAAAAGAAGAAAAATCATCATAATTATATCTTCTGATCTAGTCTCTTTTGAATTTTTTTTTAAGTAGAAATTTGATATCAAAATCTTATATAATTTCTGTTTAGACTTTTTTGTGTAGTTATATCCTAAGAATCTTCTAATGTTGTTAATAACATTTATGCACATTATTTTTGATGATCACATAAAAATAGACCAAGTGAATGTACCATAATTTATTCAGCCAGGCCCCTAACATAAAACAATAAGAAATTGCTAAATTTTCACCATGTAAGATAATGACAATATTATAACTTTGTGCAGAATGAGTCACCTCTTCTAACCACACTGTAAATATTATAACACTGTCTTGTAACGTCCACTGTTATTTGTAAAATGTCAGAAATCTAACTGTTGCTCCTAGTAAAGAAAACTTTTTTTTTCTTTGTCTTTTACATTTTTTCATTGTCTTTGAAATTCCACAGTTTTACTGAACTGCACTTTAGCATGGATTTTCTTTCATTATTTTTTTCTTGGACTATGTTGCTTTCCTGTTCTAAGGGTTTGACATCTTCCTCAATCACAAACGTTCTCCATCTTTATTTCTTTTAATATCACCGTTGTCTCATTTTCATTTTCTGCCAGCTGAAACTCCAGCAAAGCATCTGTATCCTGATCACTGTATCTATCATGTCTCTTAATCTCTGTTCTATGTTTTATGCTTTTGTGTCTTTCTGTACTGTATTTCAGCAGGTTGCCTGCCCTCAGGCCAACACTGTTGTGGACCTAGTATGATTGCCCAAGGTCCAGGCATTCCATTCAGACATACCTACCACACAAGGGAAGTGACTTATCTCGTCTGGAATCTCTCACATACAAACAACAATGCCAAACTTGGCCCTAACTATGAGCCAGGTGCATTATGTATATATCCTCATTTAATCTTAACAACGCTGTGTGATAATTATAATTTCCATTTTCTAGGAAACAAAGGAACCAAAAGTTAAGCAATCTGCATTAGTTACTAAGTGGTGGAATCAGAGTTCAACTCCAGGAAGTCTGACTGCATGGCCTCATGCTGAGCTACTGCATCACACTGACTCTCATGCAGTCAAGTCTGCCCTTAGGTACATGGAAAGTCCAGAGGCAACACCCTACTCCTCCCTCCCCTCCCTTTGAAGTATTTTCAGTGAATGATGGTGTTGTGGTAGGTTAGCTCTGTTACAGGAGACAAGATGGTATCTCCAAAAATAAGACAGTAGGAATTAAATAGAAGGCCCTACACTGTTTGCACCATGAAGCATCTTTTAACAGATACAGTGCAAGTATTCACTATACTGCCATGGTCAGTGATCCTCTTGAACCTTCTGGTGTTGATATCCACTCTGTCTGGTTTCTACATGACTTCATGCTCTTGTAACTATGTGACTCATACTTGGCCTCATACTTCCTTGGTCTTTGTCACAGTTGTATTTATTTTACATCTTTAATAGATAATAGCAGAAATAAAAGCCAAATAGTGTATAACAAACAGGAAATGCATTAACATGGCAAGAAAGCCAAGCAAGAGTATAGCTAGACAACAGAAAGCACCGGATCCAGGAAATGAAAACCCAAGGGAAACAAACGTAGGCCTGTCTCAACTGAGCTTATTTCCATGTGTTGATTTTCTTCATTTTATGGACCAGTGCTTTTCTCCTGGCGGCATGTTGGGCCATGGCTACCAGTGTACCTGTTATATAACCATTCCTAGAGAACTCATTTCCATTTTCATTTCCCCTCCTTTTTCTTTGTCTCCCTCTTTCCTCTTTCTCTCTCTCCTTTTTCTTCTGTCCTCCAAAATCCTGAGTAAAAGTTTCTCATTAACCTTTATTGGGCCACAGAATATCCTTGGTCCAATCAACTGTGGACAGAGGGGTATGGTCAAGTTCTACAAAAATAGCATTAGGCTTTTATTTCCACAGATGGAAGAACAGAGTCCCATGTGAAAAACTGAAGATGTTGCTGTGTGCTGTGCAACTATTCTCAAAGGTCACATGGAATCAGAAGAATATTGGTATGGGAGGATTTTTTGTGAAAATGTTTCAACACACACATTGATATAATGACCCCAAACATAATCTCTCAAGCTCAGACGTAATATTTCAATATGTGTCAGTCTCCAAAAGTTAGGAATTAACTCACATAAGCACAATGATATCACTACACACATACAAACCAACAACAATTCCTTGGTATTGTCACCATACGGGGTCCCAGGAGGTCCTGCTAAAGAGGAAATGGGGACCTCAACTTGGTCTAAACAGATTCTTGACATTCCTCATGGAAAAGAATTTTAGGATACATCTGTGAGAGGCAAAGGCAGATTTATTAGGCAGTTAAGACAGTGCACACTCAAAGGAAGATGGGCTGGGGATTTAGCTCAGTGGTTCCACCGCCCGGCAGGCTCAAGGACCCAAGTTTGATCCTCAATACCGCCCCACACCAAAAAAAAAAAAAAGGGAAATGGCATGTGAGTGCTCAAGGGTGAGTCACACCAAGGTCTGGGCTTGGGGGTGTGTCTTAGTCATTTTCTCACTGCTGAGACACAATACCTGAAACTCACATCCTAAAGGAGGAGAGGTTTATTTTGGCTCACATTTCAGTCCATAGTCAGCTGGCTTCCAAGAAAAAACAACATGGCACAGAGGCATGGCAGAGGGAAAGCTTCTCACTTTGTGGCAGCCAAAAAGCTGAGAGAAAAGTTCAAAGCCAGAGAGGGAGATAAACCCTTCCAGGCTGTCCAGACCCCACTTCCTAACACCAGCCCATCTGTAGGTGCCCCCATAATCCAATCCCTATGCACAAGCTCCACCTCTGAGCCCATGATATAAACCATAATGGTATATATGTGGTCTTGGGTTACCCTTAAAATGGATTATTTGGGATGTTTATCCACTGAGTCTTTTTTTTTTTTGGTGCCAGGGATCAAACTCAGGTCCTTGCAGTTGCGAGGCAGGTGGCAGAACCACTGAGCTAAATCCCCAGCCCCACTGAGTCTTTTATTATTTACCTGGTGTCTCGTTGCCCTAAGATCAGGTTGCCTATTAGTGGATTAAAACAAAAACTGACTCTCTCAGCTAGGTTAAGATGCAAATCTTAAAATGTTTGAAACTTAGAGATATTGTACCTATTTAGTAGTTCTGTTTATACACTGTTTTTATCTGAAAATGGAAGTCTGAGATGTAACTTTGGAATTTATGAAGTTATAGTATTTTTAAGACCCTTAGGAATTGAGGAATGATGAACCTGGCAGTAAAACAACTCTAGGGAACAGAGTTAAGTGAAACCATGGGGTGCTTTGATTATAACATAGTTCCCTTGAAACTACAGTTTTTTATTCTCCTTCTTAGCTCTATTTATTTTTAATCATACCTCAGTATCACATAATATTCAATCAATACTTAAATTTCCCCAATGGCAGGTAATTTTTTGTATTTAATTCTATCAAAGCAAATACATGTTGCATTGGTTTCATGTTTCATAAATCTTTTTTAACTGAGAGCCATCTTCACCCCACTCTATGATTTAATTTCCAGGATTTATGAAGAAACAGGCTAAATATTCCAGCAAATGCACCACACACTAGATTTGTCTGCTTCCTCATGATATGTTCTCTATTGCTGCTATATTACCATAAATAGAAGTGAATTATAAAGATTTTCAGGTTCGACTTCTTTTGAAAGTATGCTTCACAGTTGTGTTGCCTATTTCTGTGGCATCAAATTAGTAGGTGGATTCGGGAACTAAAACCTCTCTCTTGTTCAAGTCATTGTCAAAATTTTACCTTAATTTTTCACTCATTGGCATTTTTTGCCTGAATCATCATTTATTTCATTACATATCACAAAATGGTGACTTTCATAATCTATTATCCCTTTTATATTTATTATATGGAAGTTTATAGAAAAAAATCTTAGTAAAATAAGATTATATTATACTGCGAAGTGTAATTTCACAGGGAAAGCAGAATAAAGTATTAATTCTTTTTTTTAATTGCCTGTTTTCAGATTAAGGGTTAGTATTTAGTGGTCCACTATTGTGGCAGATGGGTTCTTTCATACAACGAGAAATATTTTGGAGATTATATATATATAATTTCACATGTCTCCAAGAATACCTCAATAATTAAATGGAAGGCCTTCCAGAACTCAGAGCTGTTTTCCTCATGGTTATGGTTTTTTGCAACAGAAGGACATAGATTAAAATCAGCAATAGGGGAAGACATATTTAGGGCATGGTTCAGAAGATAGCAGGCACAAAGCTTTCAAGCATCCCCTCCCGAAGTTTTGTGGTAGTGCTCATTTTCCCAGAATGTGTGACAATATGCATGGAGTGGTACCAATCAGGGAAGAGCACCTGAGACTTGGTGTGCAGAGATTTTACTGAAGGCCCATCATGCAGAGATGCATAACCACCTGCTTTGTGTATCTTTTTCTTTGGTGCCTCCAGAGGTCAAGCTTATATCACAAAGTCAAAGCTCCCATCCCAAATCCCATTATTAGCATGGACTCTCTGACATGACCCAAGGCATCCAGGCAAACAGTCCCTCTTCTCAGGCCGGACAGTCCATGGACTTACAGGTTGTCATCAAGGCACTGAAGCAAAGGGCCAAGTCTTTCTCTGGACAAGATTAATAATTTATTACAGAGTAATCATTATTCTTTTGATAGTTAAATTTTTCTATATTGGCTCATATTTTTTGGCATGATTCAAATAGCCTTTGCTATTATTTTTGTATCTTGACACAACCATGTAATCCAGGATCCCCTTGTACATTTGTTACCCTATGCATGAATTCTGCCTTCTCTATAAAAAGGTAAGGCTTTTTGAGAGGAGAAATGATATTTAGAGACTATTACCTGGTTCTCAGGCATGTTCACTGCTATTTCTTTTTATCGCTTTAGGCCAGAAGTTGAAAACTGAACACCCATATAACTTTTCATATTACAGTGCCAGAGCTGAATAGTTTTGACAGAGACTATGGCCTGCAAAGCCTAAGAAAAAGTTTACTGATTCCTCTTTTAGGGCTTCTGTTGAAAAGAAAATCAAATTGTGAGCTCAACTGATAATTCCAAATTTAACATCAGATCATTCTATTTAACTTCTTTGCTTTTATATGTACATCTTTCTTATACTGAAAAATCTTTCTTCTAGAATTTTCCTAGAACTGTTCTTGTTTCAGCACTGAAAGTTCCAGATACTGGAACAACCCCTGTGAGCAATTTGAGACACCTATTCACTTGATTCTCAGAATGTTAATGTCAGTATGAATTTTATTTATCCTAAAATCTATGTTGAATCTTGTCTGAGTCATTTTCTCAATGCTGGGACAAAATACCTGACACACTCAAAGGAGGAGAGATTTATTTCATTCCATGGTCAGTGGGCTCCAAGGCAGAAACTGGATGGTGGAGGAGAAGGTGTTCAACCTGTGGCAGCCAGAAAGTAGAGAGAGAGAGAAGAACCAGGAACAGAATACACTTTTCCAGTTCACACCCCCAGGGACCCACCTCCAACCAGGCCTCACCTCTTTATAGCACATTCAGCTACCCAACTCATCAATGGATGAAACCACTGATGAGTATAACACACCCACAATCCAATCATCTTCCAAAGACATGAGGCTTGTGAGGGACATTTTAGGTTTAACCACAATAAATGTATTCAAATTAATGATGCCAAATTATCACTAAATTTTACAGGTCTATTTAATGTATAGGTTCTTCTCAAATCCTCAATTCTAAACTTAGCTGAGCAGGACTAGAAGGATTTGCTGATGAATTTTACCAGACCTTTAAAGAAGTAGCACCAATGCTCCTCAATCTATTCTATGAATTAGAAAGGGAATAAACACTTCCAAATTTATTCTACAAAGACAGTATTACCCTGATACCAAGACCAGATACACCACCACCACCATCATCATCATCAACAACAACAACAAAACTATAACCAGTATCTTTGATGAACATACATGCAAAAATTCTCAGTTGTTGTATTCTTCAAAACAGAATACAACAACATATTTATAAGATCATACACCATGATCAAATGCTTTTCATCATAAGGAAACAAGGATAATTCAATATACATAAATTGGCATATGCAATACAGCACATAAACAGAATCATGCATAAAAATCACATTATTATCTTTTTTTTTAATTTAAATGAAAATATATTACCTGATTACAACAACATTACATTAGAAATCAGAAACAGAATGAAATTGGGTAAGTTCTAGATATGTACAAAATAAGCACACCTAAATAATCAATGAGTTAAAAAGAAATTACAAGAGAAATTTTAAAACATTTTGATGAATGAAAATGAAGATACAACATATTAAAATTTTTGACATAAGGTAGCACAGTGCTTACAGGGAAATATATAGCTGAAAAGCCTATATAAGAAAATGCTAAGGATCTCAATTCAATCCTTAACTTTTCACACTTAAAAAAACCCAGAAGAGCAAATTAAACTCAAAGCAAATAGAAGCATGAATAACAACATATACGGTAGAAATAAATATGCATACCTCTGTTTATGGCAGCACAATTTTTAATAGCTTAATCTTGCGTATATGTGCATTAAAAGATGACTAGATAAGGAAAATGTGGTATTTATACACAATGGAGTACCACTCTGCCATAAATAAAGATAAACAAGGTATTCATAGGTAAATAGATGCAACTTGAGTACATACTGTTTAGTTAAATAAGTCAGACACACAGACACATAACCTTAAGCATCCCATGGCTTCTCTTATATGATCAATATATATATATATATATATATAGAGAGAGAGAGAGAGAGAGAGAGAGAGAGAGAGAGAGAGACAGAGAGAGAAAGACAGAGAGAGAGGGAGGGAGAGAGAGAGAGATACAAATAAAGACCGAAATAGAAGATAGATAAATAGGAAATATGGAGAAGTTCAAATCATTCCAAAATCACCTACTCTGTTGTTTCAAAAATATCTTAATAGATATGCCAATTTGTTTCATTTATACTACTA